ATTTCTAACTTTTTTTTTATTTTAAGTAGTATATGATTGGGGGAAAAAACAATGATAGTTCATTATCCTAGTGTTTTCTTAGCTTTGAGTCTGAGATGATTAAAAAATAATTATGTCTTTCTTATGTAAATGACTTCCCCCAAGTGAAAAATAAAGCACCAATTAATAAAGCAAATGATAATTCCACCAATGGTTAATGCATTAGCTACCAAACTTACCCCAACAATCAAAAGAAAAGGTATTAAATAAGAAATAGAAAATGATCAAGTCCCTTGAACTACCTACTTGCTTCAAAGGCACTTTTTACTATTAAATAGAAATAGCTTGTTATATTGTAAGTAGAATAGGTTGCTTATTTTGTGTTTATAGTCATCTTCTTCTTTAAGAGTTGTAATTTTGCTCATCTTATTTTGGGTAAGTGAATTTTCTTTTGGTGAAAGAATCCCTAGTATAACTATTCCAAATGCCAGAGAAGACACTCGAGAAATATAAAGCTAAAACATCAAGTTTGCCCTAAAAATAAAGCAACAAAAGATATGACATTCAACATGGTCAACTTGGCCTACGATTTGACTAGCACGTGTAATCAAAAATGCTGACAGAAAATCTATAACGGCGTATCTGACTTTGATGGTGAACTCAATCTAAAATTATGTTGCATCTCATGATATATTTCTCAAATAAAAAAAAACATAAAAAAGGGAAAAAAAAAAAGAAAACTTTGTTCCAATAAAACTCAAAAGCCAAGCCTTAGTATGGTGGCAAAAATATCAAGTCGAGAACGAATATCTTCAACATATTTCGACATGGCCTAATATTAAACATAAAGTAGATTATAATTTTCTTCCAATGGATTTCCATAATTTTGGCACAATTAATTTTATGGTTCGAAACAAAAAAAAACAAAGTTAACAAGATAAAAGATTTTATAAATATTCAAGTCAGACAACAAGTGATCAACTAGTGGCAAAATATTTTAAGTGGCTTGAAAATAATCATCCATAATGAATTATTTGTGCATCACTTAAATTGTCCAAAAGAAGCTTATCCAAATAGCTTAGGCGGAAGAAAAATAATTATGGGCTCTCAAAGAGAAACAAATGAATAATTTCTAGATTTGGGACTATAAGAAAAATAATTATGGGCTCTCACATAGAAACAAATAAATATTTTCAAGATTTGGGAGTTTCAAGTGTTAAGAATGCCGCAACAAAAATTATATAACCTCTAGATCCCATGCTAGAGAGCATACAAGGGACTGTGTAGCCCTCCCAAAGGGGAAATTAAAATGTAGTATTCATGTTCTATAAAAAAAGAGGGGTCATCAAAGAAGCAGGGCTTAATTTAATTACAAAGAAAAAAAGATTAACTAATGTATGATCCTAAAACAAAAAAGATGAATAAATGACACGAAAATTTTGTGATCCATATGATGAGAACAAAAAATTTGTAATCCATAGTCTTGAAGCCTCCGAAGATCACACATGAAGATTGGCTTTAGAACAACAATGTACATGTTGTTTGCACAACTTGTGATAAGAAATGTTTGATTTTAGTTGACCCTAGAGCCACAAATATATGGTTGATAAATAAATGACAAAAATACTAAAATTCGAGTGTGAGAAACGCCAAAAACCATGCAAAATTGCTTCGTTCAAGAAAGATGGTGAATTTCCAATTAATGATGGGTATTTTGTTAAGTTTTATATTGGTAGGTATAATTATAAAATTGTATGATGTTTTTCTAAAGATGCATGTCAAATTTTATGATATAAATATCCGTCATAAAAGAAGGAAGCATATTCATTTTGTTCTGCTTAATGAAATCAAGTACATTTTGGCACAACTAAACTAAACAACACCCAAGACAAACAAAAGAGAAAAATTATTCTTTTGTCTTCATGTATTTGAAATAGCATGCAAGAAAAAACACATTTGTGCATCTTTTGTTGAAAATAAGAAATAAAATGTTGCATATATGTCTGAATTTTTGTCCAAACTTTTATGATTGTTTTTTAATGTCACATCCAAAAACTATACTAATAAATTACCTCTCCCCACCAACTCGCCCACACACAAAACACGGGCAAATAACGGTCATCATCTAATCTCCCTCATTACTAAAAGAGTCCAATAAAGCAATATAAACTCCAATCATAATTCGATTTGCTTAAAAATGGTTTAATTCAAGAAATTGTAAGCCCCTGTGCCTACCAATTCTTCTTACCATTAAGAACAATAAGGCATGTTGTGTACATATAATCATGTTGACAGTATAATCATGATTAAATATCTATTCTCGGTCCCTAAACTTAATCTTGTGATAGATATATTACATGAATCAATTGTTTTTCCCAAAATTTAACTTAAAAGTGGTAATCATCATATTAGAATTGGAGATAGAAATGAGCAAAAAATTTCTTTTATTAGTTGATAACTTTATGAATGTGGTGCTATGCTTTTTTGCTTATCAAATGTTACTAGTGCGTTAATGTTCTTGGAGAATCAAATTTTATAAAATTTTATAGGAAATTTTTATTGTCTATTTTGATGATATGCACATATTTAATAGATCTCCTAATGAACATTTATGACCATTTATATGAATTTATTTAAACTTAAAGAGAACATAAATTACTAGTTAATCTTAAGAGGTTCACTTAAATGACTAATAATGAAGACTTCTTAGCAAATGCAATTTTCTCTCAAGATGTATAGGTTGAAGTCTACAAAAAAATGAAAATTTAGAATAGTCAACACCAATATTCATCTCAAAAATACGAAGCTTACATGGAATTGCTACTTCTTGTATGGTAAGGGAAATAAAATAATATATCCAAACTTGTAAAAGAATATGAATGTAAAACCTGATGAGCTTCCTAAGGGCACAACCTAATGCGACATTCAAAATCAAATTACTTTGACTTTAGGTAGTTCCCCTCTCATTATCAAATGATTCCAATGGAGAAAGACAACCTCCAACAATTAGTCAAGGAAATGCTTGATAATTAAATAAAACCTAAGCCCTTGTTCCACGCCCACTCTTCTTAATATTAAGAAGATGATATAGATAATTGTGTGGATGGTTAACTCATAATAAATTTGCAGTTAAAAATTATTTTTAATCACTAAAGTTGAGGCATACTAGATGCGTTTCATGAATCAAATTACATATTGAAATTGATGTTAAAATTGGCAATCATCAGATCAAATTTTGATGAGAGATAAACAAAAAATTAAATTAAAACTATGAACGGCATTTCTTATGCACTTAATACATTATTGCACATAATAGATGAAATTTTAAAATCGCGCATGGACAATATTCTTGTTAATTTTTTTGATGATGTACTTATATTTAGTAGATTTCCTAATGTGCATCTTATTCATTTGCATGAAATTCAGAAAATTTTAAAAAAATGATAAATAATTTATTCTCAAGAAATGTTCTTTCATGACTAGCTGAATAACAGATTAAACGTTGATGAGCCAACATAAAGAGGATTTTAGAATAGTTGATGTCAAAATCTATGATGGAGATGAAAAAATTTCATAGCTTTGTTACTGTTTACCATTGTTTTCAGTAGAAATTTTAAAACTCTAATTGCTGCAATAATTGATTGTTTAAAACCGACAAGTTTTTTAAGAAACTAAGGAATAACATGAGAGAGTTTATTTGAATAAAAGAAAATTAAATAAAACACATATACTTCTCCAGTATTGAAAACGACTTCAAAGTTGACAGTAATGCATCAAATATTGGTCTAGGTGATATCCCATGAAAAACATCAAATTACCTTCTTTAGTGAAATTCAAAGTAAAAAAAAATAAGATATTCCACAAGCGATATAATATTATTGTTCAAGCTTTACAAATATAACATCATTATTTTATTAATACGGAATTTATTTTGGATTCAGTACATGAAGCTTTTCAATTTTTAATACCCAAACAAAGCTGAAAGCTAGGCATGCAAAATATAAAACTCATCTTAAGGAATATAATTTTTTATTCTGCATAAGGTAGTCGATGCACTTAGCAGAAAATTTTGCCTTCTTGAAAACTGGTTTTGTCATTCAATGAAATCAATAAATGAATGGTTTTATTTTTTATCAAAAAAAAAAAATGGGAAAAGAATAAAAATAACACAAATTTCCATCGTTAATGGTAAATGAACCAAAAGTTGCATTTTATTAAATCTTTTTGTCTTCATGTATCTTTGAATTATACGGTAGTGGTTTTGGAAGACATTTGGAAAATAATACACATTGATAATGGTTTTTGAAAGTTATATGTAGCCGAGTTGAAAAGAAAGGTAAAAAATTTCATAAAATATTGCATCATTGTTGAAAAAGGGTGGAGAACAGATAAATAAAGGCCTACACCAACCCTTTCCAATTCCAAACCACTCGTAGGAAGACATTAGCATGAATTTATGGTCAGATTGCCACCAAAACAAACAGGTGATGACAAAGCATTAGGGTAGTGAAAAAGAAACCTAACATGCATTCTTACTTATGTCAAGCTCAAATTGTCTATCAATAACTTGTATGCCACCAAATCGTATAAGTTACATGGATAAAAGCATTAGGTTGTAAGGAAATAGATGATAACAAGTTTTAGCATAACATAGAAGATGTTAAGATGAGTGAAAATTTTATAAATGATAGATTTAGAAATTATCATATCATAAATGCAGCAGAAGCAGAATCTAACATATACTGGAAAACATATAGTATAATATAGACAAAATTAGGTTGGAGATGTGCGATGAAGGGTAACAGATGCATCAACAAAATGTGGCCATAAAATTATTATCAAATGATTAAGGAAAAAAAGAAGTGGATCAAAGTCAATACAGATAAAAGTTTTTAAACTTATTTATACAAAACAGGTTTAACAAAATGTTTTTAAAGTCAATAGGAATAAATTGATGATGGAGAAGTGCTAAAATGATAATGATAAAGTAATTTTATTTTCATGTAAGCATTAGTAGAGACCTGTAGGAGAGGTATGTAGCTGCTTCGCACGATCATTGCAACTACCAAGCAATGCTGGAGGAAGTTCACTATTTTCATTTTCAATTACTCGGTCCTCTTCTTCTATTGCCTCAAAAACACTTGCTCGGAGCTCAGCCTGCAACCCAGTTGCAAAAAATTTCAACTTAGAACAATCTGTATTTTGAAATTCTAAACACGAATGATAAGAGCTGCCATAGATCTCCAATTTTGCTTTCCATATCACATGGAAAGATCTAGGTGTGTAAGATTAACATGTCAAAAACTCAGCAGATTACAGCTCATGTGTTTAACAATTATCAGGAAATATTTGATTCTACTAGAAGAGTTATTCGAAAATCCAAAACCAAAATAATTTACATTTCAACAGTGTGAGCCATTGCAACGAAGTGGAAGGTAGACAGTGAACTCAAACCCTACGATAAACAAAGAGATTAAAAGCATTACAGCTCACCAAAACAGAGTAACCATTTGGAAGAAAACCTGGAGGGGATGCAAAAAAAAAAAAATCTCCAAAATAAGTAAACACACACAACCTAGCTCATTCTATTATCGACTTTCTCTGGGCTTGTTCTATGCTAGCAACCTCATACAAAGTAAAAACTAGAGACTGCCGATATAACATCAATCCGAAACCCTAATTCTAACATATAAAGGTCCCGGCCAGCCGATTTACATATTTGCTGAAAGGAATCGGAGAAACAAGAGCACTTACCCTTATCTTCGCGAGAACTCCTTTCTTCTCGAGTGTTCGGGTAACGAGGGTTTTCAGGTCCATCATCTCCCTCGCGTATTCATCCATCTTTCCCCCACGCCCACCTTGGACGGCGACGAGCAACAGGTTATACTATAAAAAAATGGGCAGCGAGAGAGAGAGAGAGACAGAGGAAGGCCTCAACTTAATTCCATTTCGAAAGAGAGATATTGGATGCCCCGGAGAAGAAATGCTGCACCTTTTCCAGCTAAGATGTTCGGAAGCAAGTAGTGGTCAAGTACGAAGTTTAAGTTTAAGCACGAAATCCTTAATAAAACATATTGGATTAGTATGCATATATACATATATATATATATATTGGTCTAGGTGATAT